CTGGTGCTGTCCCTGCTGCTTCTAGCGTCGCCGCGCGGCCTCGACCGTACTTCGTTCCACTCCTGCAGCAGGTTCTTGGTCTTCCACCTTCTACTGGTCCTCCTCCTCCCTTAGAGTGTCCACAGCCTGTCTCGTCCCAGCTACAGTTGCAGCCTACCTCCCCTTTGCCTGCTCCTTCTCCCTACACTGGTCCTACTGGAGGTCTGGCTGAGCGTCGTGAGCCTGCGTCTCGCCCTGCGTCGCCTGTCCGTGCTGCTCGCACTAGTGGTCGCGGTTCGCGTCAGCGTCCTCCTCCTGTCCCTGGCACGCACCGGATGTCTCTGCGTCCGTCCACTGCTCCTCTGCGTGCCCCTTTGCCTTCTCCTCCTGAGTCCTCTCTTCCTGCTCTTGCCGACCTGGAGTCGGACTCTCTTCGTGCTGCCAGTCCTACTGTCACGCGTCTCCTTGCTACTGTTGTCACTGACCCTTCTTTCGAGTCTACTGCTGCGTCTGCTCTCGTTACTGAGCTCGTCGACTTTGCTGCTCGCTGTCGCTTAGACTACGCTGCTAGTCTTGTCGCTGAGTCTGAGTCTGTCTGTCCTCCGTCCGTCGGGGGTGAGTGTGCCCTTGGCACGGACGTCCTTGAGGACAGGCAGGAGGAGTTCCAGTGTCTGGCAGCTGCCTCACCTCATCTCGTGTCCGTACTGCTTACCCCTGAGGGAGACCCGGATGCACTTGACATCCCGACTCCGCGCTCTTACGCGGAGGCGATAGAGGGTCCCTACTCCTCTCAGTGGCAGGCAGCTATGAATGCAGAGATGGCTTCCTGGAAGTCCACAGGCACCTACGTTGACGCTGTCCCCCCTCCTGGGGCGAACATCGTCAGTGGCATGTGGATCTTCAGGGTGAAGCGGCCGCCGGGTTCTCCGCCTGTCTTCAAGGCGCGTTACGTGGCTCGTGGCTTCAGTCAGCGGCAGGGAGTTGACTACTTTCAGACCTTCTCCCCCACCCCGAAGATGACCACTCTTCGGGTACTGCTGCACGTTGCTGCTCACCGTGACTACGAGCTGCACTCTCTTGACTTCAGCACAGCTTTCTTGCAGGGCAGCCTGCACGAGGAGATCTGGCTGCGTCGCCCACCTGGCTTCACTGGGTCTTTCCCTCCTGGTACCCAGTGGAGTCTCCGGCGTCCAGTCTACGGTCTCCGCCAGGCGCCACGTGAGTGGCACGACACACTGAGGACTACGCTTGCGGCTCTTGGGTTTGCTCCTTCTACTGCCGACCCGTCGCTGTTTCTACGCACCGACACCTCTCTGCCGCCGTTCTACATCCTCGTGTACGTCGACGACTTGGTCTTTGCCACAGCTGACACTGCTGGACTCGCCTACGTGAAGTCCGAGCTGCAGAAGAGACACACGTGCACAGACCTGGGTGAACTGCGCAGCTACCTTGGCTTGCAGATCACCCGGGACAGAGCACGCCGCACCATTACCCTGACTCAGTCACACATGGTGCAGCAGGTCCTTCAGCGCTTCGGCTTCACGTACTCCTCGCCTCAGGCCACTCCTCTGTCTACTCGCCACTCGCTCTCAGCTCTGCCTTCGGATGAGTCCGTAGAGTCGAGTGGCCCGTACCCAGAGCTTGTTGGCTGCCTCATGTACCTGATGACCTGCACACGACCTGACCTTGCATACCCTCTTAGCATTCTTGCACGCTATGTTGCTCCTGGGAGACACAGACCAGAGCACGTGGCTGCAGCGAAGAGGGTGTTGCGCTACTTGTGCAGTACGTCGGGCATGGGGCTAGTGCTTGGAGGGCGGAGTCCAGTGGTCCTCACTGGGCACGCGGACGCTTCTTGGGCTGACGACCAGGCTACGCAGCGGTCGTCACAGGGTTACACCTTCAGCCTTGGTTCCGGCTCTGTTTCGTGGCGGGCTACTCGCTCGTCTTCTGTTCTTGGCTCGAGTTGTGAGGCTGAGATCTACGCCGGGGCCATGGCTGCACAGGAGCTTCGCTGGCTCACCTACCTGCTGACCGACCTTGGAGAGCCGCCTCGTTCTCCTCCAGTCCTGTACGTAGACAACAAGGCCATGCTGGCCTTGTGTCGAGAGCAGCGACTGGAGCACAGAACAAAGCACATTGCTCTCCGCTACTTCCTTGCTCGTGAGCTACAGCAACGTGGACAGTTGCGGCTTGCGTACGTGGCCTCTGAGGCCAACACTGCTGATGTCTTCACCAAGGCACTTCCGCCTTGTGATCATCAGCGCTTCTGCACTCAGCTGGGTCTTGTGCCCGTCTTGCCTCACTTGCTCTCCTCTTGACCTTGCTTGTACTCTCACATATATATATACCTGCTCTTGCTTGTCTAGCTTTATATATATGTGTGTACTCTTGCATGTGAACTGGCCGTGTGGCCTTGACCCTGTGCTCGGACTGTGTGGTGACTTTGTGATCCACCCTGAGCTTGCTTTGCTTTGCTTTGCTTGACTGGTCTTGTGACCCCTTGTTCTCCCCCACTTTGCCTATGGGGGTGTGTCAGAACATTATAGCTTATGCTGTTGTGTAGGCTATAGTGGGGTATCCCATAGGGGGTACAACCAATTAGGGTTTCATATTTGTACTCACTTCATTTTCATAGTTCACTCATTTCTCGTTCTCATTTTCACATGGAGGTGTTACCTAGAGGGAGCCAAGACTACAGTCTATACTGACCACTGCAGTCTCAAATACCTAAAGTCGCAGCCGACGCTCTCATAACGACAGGTGCGGTGGGTGGACTTCCTGGAAACTCACTTCCACTACGAAATCGTCTACAAGCCCAGGCTACACAACAAGGCAGATGCGTTAAGCCGCCCCGGACATATAGCAGGCATCCAGCTCGACAGGGTGAACCCTCTGCTCAAGGGTCTATTCTAACATGGGTACTTCGTGGACGCAGAGATCGCTACATCACAGACTAAGAAGCTGTTACAGTGGGAGAAAGACTTACCGGTAAGGAAGGGTTCAGGAAAGATTTGGGTACCGAATTACGCCCCGCTCCGACAGATTCTGCTGGAGGAGTTTCACGACGTACCATACGCGAGACATTTCGGGAGCAACAAGACGCTAGCAGGGATAGAAAAGTAATACTACTGGCCCGGGATGGCAGCAGACGTGCAGCAGTTCGTCACCTCACGCGACACGTGCCAGCGGATGAAGAGTAGCAAGCAGAAGAAAGCTGTGTTATTTCAGTCTCTACCCGTACCAGAGCAGCCATGGCAGGTCGTTAGCCTCGACTTCATCACTAGACTTCCTTCAACCTCACGGGGACATGATTCCATCGTCGTAGTGATCGATAAGTTCTCTAAAATGGGTCACTTCATACCGAAGAACGCCACAGCTACAGCTGAAGCAACTGCTCGCCTCTCCTTCGACCGCATCATCACCATCCACGGCATCCCCGCTACACTCATCTTAGACAGAGACCCAAAATTCAGGAGTAAGTTCTGGAGGGAACTCATGGGATTGTTGGGGACTAAACTTGCAATGTCGTCAGCATACCACCCACAGACTGACGAACAGACAGAGCGACTCAATCAGATGGTTGAACATTTACTGCGTATAGCTTGCAAAGACGACGTCAGCCACTGGGACACACAGTTACCGACCCTAGAGTTCGCTTACAACAACGCATCACATGCGGCCACAGGGAAAACTCCCTTCTTCCTGTGTTACGGACGCGAACCACTTACACCACAGCAGCCAACCATACTGGCATACGTCCAAGCCGCACATGACTTCGTCACCACCATGCAGCAGCTATGGGAGAAAACTCAGCGACGTCTCACCACAATGCATAACTCCCAGAAGCAGTATGCTGATCGCCAGCGACGTGATCACTCAGTAGCAGTCGGAGATCAGGTGCTTCTTGACACGCGCAACTTGAACCTGTCTCACCTATCCAAGCTCCGGCCTCGCTTCTGTGGTCCTTTTCTCGTTGAGGCACATGTGACACAAGTTACATTCTGCTTGCGGTTACCAGATACGTGGAAGCTTCACAATGCTTTCCATGTTCAGCTACTGAAGCCCTACAAGGACCCCAACCAACAGTTCCAGGGACGGCAGCTACCGCCACCACCACCTACTCTCATACACGATGAACCCGAGTATGCAGTGGAGCGCGTTCTCACTCATCGGCGCCGCGGCGGCAAGACCCTCGAGTTCCTGATACGCTGGAAGGGATATGACCCCACTGAGAACAGTTGGGTTGCAGAAGCTGATATGGGCAACGCACGCCGTGCTTTCAAGGACTATCTTGTCAAGCGGGGTGTATATCACGCCACCCAGCTTTGAGGGGGGGACGTGTGAGAGTGCGACGGCTTATGCTGGCTTTGCTAGCTTGCCTGGACTTTATTGTGCTATATCTAGCTTGGGTTAAATTTATCATGCATAGATATGCTTGATTTCCTAGGTTAGGTGCATTCTTATATTTTATTATAGTTATAGCACCGAAGCAGGTTACGTGTACCCAGGTGAATCATTCAATTCAAACCCTATTTTCTGAGCTCGATCCTAGATCCTCACAAAGCAGATCATGGAAACAGTGCACTTCTTGCAACAGAGCGACAACGACGCTGACACCGCCGCCGTGGTCAAGCTACTCGACCACCTCGGGCGGGCGGAACTTTCTACTTTCAGCGGCGCTCTCGTGGTCCTCCGTGCAACCACGCCCTTGAAGGTCCCCACCACCGCCGACGAAAAGCCGATCGGCATCAAGGGACTGGACAAGCCGCAGTACAAGAAGCTGGCCATTGCGTGGGGCATTGTCTCGGTGGGTTACGCCGACCCTGAATGGGGGAAGAAGATTTTCGGCGACTTGTGGGAGGAGCAGGCCGAGAAGGTCGGCTTGGAGGCTGAGGCGACTGCGGGAGCGAGGGCGGAGAGCTCCGGCACTGGGAAACGCAAGAGGGCGGGCTGAGGGTAGTGCGTCCGTCCGACTCCGACCACAGGTGCGAAGGCCGCACACATCGAAACTCGTGTGATCATGCCGCCTTATTCTTCGCGGCCTTCTCGGGCTTGGTCGACTCCGAAAGGTCGCCGAACCACACCGCCGGACGAAGAGCCAACATGAGAGCTGCGCGGCCGACGGCGGTTATCCTGTTGCACCCTGCAACCACCTCTTGGAACCTGCAAAACACGGCAGCACGACCCACCGTCACCGACCGACCCACGCATAACCGAATGAAACGAGCACCTAATTGAGCATTCGCCAAGCTTACCGGTCGCGGAGCACGTTTGCGCCTCGGCTCCACATGACCGTCCACATGCCGCCCGGAATCAATCGCGCCACATTCCAATCCAACTTGTACTGCTCCATCACATCTTCATTCACCCCACCGAACTCGGCAAGAATCACGTCGCTCAAATAGCCGTCGAACGATGAAACGGCGACCGCGATGTAGTAGGCGGCCTCCGACTTATCCATCGATCGGCAAATGTAGCGGCTCTTCTTCCCAAACTTCATCTCCGCCACGGCCAGCCCCGTCTCCTTGTCAACGCGGACGCCTGAACCCTTCTGACACTGCGTGCCGCTTTAGACATCCCCTTGGAAGAGCCGGCCTTCGCCGAGCCGGCCTTCGCCTTGTCCTTGCCCTTGCGCTTTTACTTCCCGTCGCCGACCTCACCTGTTGTGGCCAGGGGGGATTTGGCTCCAGTCGGGCTAGGGTCCTCCTTAGGTGCAGACGAGGCGGCGGGTGTACCCTGTTGCACTCCCAAAGTGGGAGCAGCTGCTTGTAGTTTCTCCCGCATGACCTCGATTTCGGGGTCAGGCATCACGATACTGGCGAGGATGTCTTCCACCATTCTCCAAATAGCCGTCTCATCCGTTGTGGCGCTCGGCCCTTCAGTCGCCCCCGTGACGTTCGCTGCCTCTACTCCTTGGTCGACCGCCTGGTTGCTGGGCGGCGGAGGAATTTTCGAGGTTTTCTTACCCTGATCCTCGAGCCATTTCAGATACTCATCCCACGATGGCTTCCAAACGATTAGAGCCTCGACCGCCTGAGCCTCAACAACCTTAGGGATCGGGATCAGTTCCATGCCGACCATGGCCCCATGAACGGGTAAGCTGGCCGCACTGGCAGTACCCGTGGTAGGCGGAGGCGGCAGCGACACAGTCCCCTGGGCAGTACCCGCTTTGGTCAGCGCTGCTGCCGTCGCCGACACGATCACTGATGTGGCAGCCTCGACCACGCCGCTGCCAAGGATGCCTGTCGCTTGCTGCTCGAAGCGGAAAGACTCGTCGGCCAGCTGTGCCGTGACGCCACCCGGTCGTGCCGCGCAGATGGCCTCCACCAGTGGTGCTATAGCTGATGCCGAGCTACAAGGGTGCCGAGAATGAATAAGCACGTGGTGTGCGTGTGGATGTATGATGTGCGGCTCACATGGGATGTGTTGTATTCGTGACGTAACGCACATGGCATGTGGTGCACTTGTGATGTGTCCCACATGGCATGTTGTGCAGTCATGATGTGTCTCACATGGCATGTTGTGCAGTCGTGATGAGTCCCACATGGCATGTCGTGGAGTCATGATGTGGCTTACATGGCATGTGGTGCAGTCATGATGTGTCTCACATGTCAGCACAAACAGCAGCACTCACATGTTAGCAGCCGCACTCACAGATGAGCAAGCGCTGGGAGGTTGCCAAGAAAGCCAGGAATGGTGCCCGTCAAGTCGTTGTAGCCAAGGTTCCTGGTGGCAAGAGACATAGTTCAAGAGACGAGTGCGATGGAGGGGATGTGTAATTTATGCATAAGGCATGGTATGCATTAAGTGAGAAAAAGAGCAGAACAGTGCCTCTGTGATGTGTTCCAAGGCTGCCTGCACATGCTAGCTCATGGTCGCCCATGGTCGGCCATGGTCGCTCTGATTGTCATGAGCTTCACTGCCTCTTCATTCGCGGGGGAATTGCAACCAGACTGCGATCCTGGTAGTGCATGCCATGGCAGGTAGGGAGAAGCAAACATGATTATGGTGGAATACTAAGGTCAACCAGCCAGATTTTTTTTTTTTTATTTTTTTTTCATTGCGGAGGGAAGACAAGGGCTTGCACTGCTGATGGTGTTGAGAAGATTAGGGTGAAATAAAGGGACTGTCATATCACATCTCATCACATCTCATCTCATCACATGTCATCTCACCATATCACATCTCATCACACCATATCACATATCATCACATCACATCGCACCCCATCGGATCACATTTCACCACATTACATTTCAACACATCACACCTGGTCCCATCACACCTCATCCCATCACAACTCATCCCATCACACCTCATCTCCTCCTCATCTCATCTCATCGAACTGAGAGACCAGACACCGCACGCAACTTGTATTGGATGTGCACAGCAGGGAGGGATGCATGGTCTTGTTTTCGCTCCATCCCAAATCAACCCATCCCATCACATCACGTCATACATCAGATTGCATGACAAACAAAAGTAAAAGGAACACATTTATTTTCTTTTTTTATAAGGCAGTTGAGGTTGAGGGAGATAATATAAAATGGACTGAGAAGCTAACACGTTAGTTTGAGAAACTTTGTTATGTAAGAACGGAAGTAGCTTATATGATTGAATAACTCACAAGCTGGTCAAAGATAAAAGACTGGCGAACATTGCTGGTATGGAGCCCTTAAGCTTGTTATCAAGCAGCCATATGCATCTCAGAAATAAGGTGCAAAAAGAGAGACGATGGGAAATTGGGGGTTTATGAGTATATCCATATTCCTTCAAAAACCAAAAAACTTGCAATATAACCGGCCTAAATTTCGACAAAGGGAAAACATGACCGCGTGTGTCAAATCTTTGCACGGTTTCCCAGCTTCAAAACGCCCTCTAAGGTCCCGATTTGAGCTTAGAACAACACATCTTTCAGTGTAGATTGGGCTAAGAGCTCAGTTCGATTGAGCTTCAAAGAGAAAGAAGGCTCGATGCAAGTTGGGCCGAATGACTAGTTCATTATGCGTGAACCACGACTTGAAGAAGCATGCAGGGCCGACATAACTATACCCACATGTCAAGCAAACGAGAAATGGTGCTAACATATCAATCAATTACCGAGGAGGAACGGCACTAACAAGTATTCGAGGTTCTTAAGATTGCCGATGGATGCAGGGATGCTGCCACTTAAGCTGTTGTAGCAAAGTTCCCTGATGGGCAAATGAACAAGGAGAGCATGCATCCAGAGCAAGTAAACACTTGAGGGGGCACGCATTCATACATTGTGAAAAGTTATTCCAGACTCAAACTGCAACTCCTCGGCTCAGCTCTGCTTGTTAGTGAAAAGGGACGAGCTTGCACCAACTCAGGGTGGATGCCAGGTCCAGTCCTGGTGCAAAGGAAACAAAAGTGTGAAGGCAACTTTCTCACGCCCTCAGGAAAACCATTCTACATTTGAAGTGTCCGTTAAAGAGAAGAACGAGGTACGCATCATTTAGGGCTGTCTGTCTGGTGGAGAATCTCACAAGTCGGTCAGCTTTGGAAGGTTGCCAATAGTTGTTGGTATTTTGCCAGTCAGGTTGGTGCCCCATAGTACTCTGCACTCAAAAAAAGGAAGGAGGGTTGCAAGGAGGGACTGACCACCTATAAACATCAGAACGAAACCCCTGACAAAACAGCAGGGCTCGCATGCTCGAAACCGTCCAACCACTCACAAGGTGGCAAAGTCTGGCTTGATGCAGTTCAGAAACACACACCCAAGGAGGAGCACAGACAAGGTGTGAGTGCCTCACATGTCCAGTTGTGTTGTGACTTGTGAGTGCCTCACACGTCCAGTTGTGTTGTGACTTGCGAGTGCCTCACACGTCCAGTTGTGTTGTGACTTGTGAGTGCCTCACACGTCCAGTTGTGTTGTGACTTGTGAGTGCCTCACATGTCCACCCAGGGAAGCGCAGCACTCACAAGGTGGCAAGGCTTTGAAGATTGCTGATGGAGTCAGGGATTGAGCCGTTTAGGTTCATGTCAGAAATGATTCTGACGTTCGCACATTGAAATGGGCATTAGAATGGAGGACATGCCAGATGCAAGAGCGATGGAGGAAAACATGTTGCATGCATGCATGCGTGTTGCGTGCGTTTGTTGCGTGTGTAACTGTGGCGTGCGTGTGCTGCATGCGTCAAAGTGGCATGCGTGTCCTGCATGCATGCATGTTCTTCGAACTCGGGGAAACCAGAAGTGATAAAAAAAGGGCAAGAAAACGGTAATCATAACTTTCTTTGATTTGCACGGAATTCGCCTTTGCAGGCTGGTGAAGGGGTGTCAACACCAACGTGGGGAACGAGAGTAACAAGGGAAGGAGGGAAGGGAGAGAGGAGGGGTGAGGAAAGCGGGGAAAGAGGAGCGGTCGACGGACAGAGGAAGGCATTGAGAGAGGTACGGGCTGGGAGAGGAGCGGAAAAGTGAGGGGAGTGGGGAGAGAGGAGGGGGGGGTGGGTGGGTGGGTGGGGGTTGCGGAAGAGTGGGAAGAGGGGGCAGGGCAGCTAGGGAAGGAGGCAGCTAGTAGTGAGTTGCTGCTGTTTTTCAGAGCGAGGGAGGTGAGGGAGGAGGGAGAGTCAAGGGGGCGGCGAGCAATAGGAACCGCGGTTTATCATCTGAGGTACATCTGAGCTAACACACGCGCTTTTATCATCTCACTCACAACGAATGCTTTTATCATCTCACACAACGAATGCTTTTATCATCTCACTCACAACGAATGCTTTTATCATCTCACTCACAAACGTCTACTCACATCTCTGTGATCATGCCCTGGGCATCGCATGTGACATTGCTCGCATTGTCGCAGTCCCCACCAACCACCCAGCCGTCAAACGTTTTGCTCCACGCCTTCTGACAGTCCAGCAGGACTTGCGCTGGCGGCGGGAAGGGCGGAGTGGAAGAGAGGAGAGAAAGGGGGGCGCGGAAGAGAGACGAGAAGGGCGGGGTGCGGTACAGAGGGGGGAGGGAGGGGCGTGGCAGAGAGGAGAGAAGGGCGGGGCGTGGCAGAGAGGAGAGAAGGGCGGGGCGTGGCAGAGAGGAGAGAAGGGCGGGGCGTGGCAGAGAGGAGGGTCTACCAAAGGGAGTGGAACAAGGGGACTCAGCGGGTCTACCAACGACCGCCTTCGCATGCCCTCCCACCGCTTTGATAACATTCCCTCCCACCTCATCACATTCCCTTCCCTCCCACCTCATCACATGCTCTTCCAACCTCCTGCCAGCCAGTGTGCGAGAAGGGCGCTGATGAACGAGGAGGGCACAGGGACGAGTGAACAGGGAAAGAGGGACAAGCTACCAGCTTCCCAGCTGAAAGCGCCTTCCCTCCTCTTCCCTCCCATCCCCTCCCCTCCCCTCCCCTCCCCTCCCCTCCCCTCCCGCCTCCCCTTCCCCCCCCCTTCCCTTTCTGAATCGAATGCACGACTGCAGCTATCTCAAATATGATGCTGCGCTGATCGCGCAGAGGGAGCAAGCCGTGTTTGCTGGGAGGCGAGGCGTGACGCCGCGGAAACGCGCAGTTTCTAGTACTTCTCAGATTTTCGACACGCGCATATGTACAATGAGTCATTGACTGGCCATCAACATGATTGAGTCATGCTTATCACCAGCATTTCAGGGCGGCACGCACCCTGCGACTTGGCGAAAGGCACGCATTCGACGTGTGAGACCGCGTGACACGTCAGCAGCAGCAGCAGCAGCGCGCCGAGCAGCAGGGTTGCTGCGGGCTTCATTACGCCCCCACGGTTGCGGCAAGCTGCGGGTCCTCTACTAGAATGCATCAGCGACTTGTGTCTAAAAAAATGATGTCTTCATGGGAGAATAAAACACTACAACTATCAGGTCGGGAGAGGAAAACAAAAAGCAGTATCACTGACAAATGGTTTAGATAGATTCTCAAGACAACCGCCTATAGCGAAGATGGATTCTGGAAGTATATCAATGCGACTCTGAGTGAGTCACGAGGAAAGTAGTGTTTCAAAAAAGGACGTGAAAGGGACCTCAAGTGTATACGCTGCTTAGCGTCTTAACGCGGTTATTTATTGGGCGAAAACGTTGTGATTCTAACGCGCTGTGATTATTTAGCGTTAGAATCACAGCGCTTAGCGTCTTAACGCGGTTATTTATTGGGCGAAATTAGGTGTGCACAAAATCAGAAGTTTGATGTGGCATGGATTCTACACAAGATGCCCAGCCCCTGTGCGCGAATTTGCCCTGCCCGCGATGGAAACTCTGCACCCGTGTATTAGGGTGCCAGCCAGTTGCACCCCATTTACAAGCACCTCGAGCAATAAGAACCACAAAAACCGAAGTTTGACAGAAGAGACCAACGTCAAACGGTCAACAGAGAGTTACAAAATCTTTTGAAAGCCCTTTTTGCTAAGTGCGAATTGACGAAAACTTAGCGAAATGCAAGAATCAATTAAGAGCCCTCTTTACAAGGCAACCTTGGGTTAGTCAAACGGGCATCTTGTGTATTGCCATCCCATAAATACCGAAACCGAAATGTCCATCAGTTTGCTGATACAGCACATCATCCAACAGCTCAGCCAATCCCAAAAGTTCATTCCTCCCCTCCATTGGTCGCCTGCTTTAACCGCCATCAACTCTCATTGGCTGCGAAAAGGAAACTGAATCTTGTAGGGGTGCCTGCCTGCCTTTTCCCAAGCTCTCCATGTGTTTTGGGCCAACCTGCCAGAAACGAGTTTCGGACAACTTTCACCCTGCCACCGCAGGTCGCCCAGCCAATAACACCCCCCCACCCCCCCCCCCCTCCCCTCGCCTCCCCCCATACATATTGCGTCTTGAAATAGGCTATGCTATTACGCAGAAACAAGAAACCAGGGACCTTATATATTCAGTACAAACCATGGTAGGGCTGTATCACCGTCAATGCCTGCTTATGCAAGGTGATATACGAAAGCCATTCTGAAACAAAGGCTAACGATGGTAAAATTTCCTGCTTCCTGAGCCCTGCCCCCCACGGGATTTCCCTCAGCGGTGCTGCCTTCCTCGCGGAATCGGTGCCAGCTGTGCGCTGTCCCAACCCAACCGATCCAACTCTCAGGACGTGGCCCAGACCGCCTCTGATCGCCTCGATCAGAGGCGATCAACAACTTCCACGAACCAATTTTTGGCAATCAATTGATCGCGATCAATTGATCGCCCCAACTCGATCAGCCGCCTCAAACACCCCAATCAATCACAATCACACACAATCGGTCACGATCACTTGATTGCATGGGATTGGGGATCTTCGCGACGCCTACGAAAAAAGCAACATTTTATCGTTAAGCTCGTGAAGATGTCGCGCATGCATCACTGAGAATGTAGTTTACGATAATACATGGGAACATTTTATTCGCTACGCCTTCGTTCTCGCCAAAACTGGGACGAAATGATAAGAAAATGCTGGCACACTTGCGAGGCAGGCGCCTTAAAATTACTAGGAATATCAGTACTATCGGGCAAGCGAGAAATGCAATCACAAGCAACCCGATCAGATCGCCCTGATCAGATCAGCGCCGATCAGAAACGGTCTGGGCCACGTCCTCACATTGAGATGATGGCATGGCGTAGCATGCCCCTTCAGGACGCTCAAGAGACCATGCCACGCCATCCCTTCAACTCCTACCCACATATTGCGTTGCGACCGCTTTTCATGCTACTATTGAACCACTCATTTCAGGGACAAAACACCAGCAAAATCCAACTTCGCCATATGCGTTTTTTTTTTGGCACCCCCCCTTCCACTCCTGACCTTCCTCCATGTAAGCAGGCAGTTCTCCAGCACGATTTTCCCCTTACCTTTCTTCAGGGGTATTTACAGCGAAGTAGAATTATACGATTAATTTAGACGCGTTAGCTGATAATCATAAGTTATGAATAGAGAACCTGCCTGGCTTTGCCGCGACCATCGCGACGTGATGAAGCCCGCAGAAGCCCTTCTGCTCGGCGTGCTGCTGCTGCTGACGTGTCACGCGGTTTCACGCGTCGAATGCGTCCCTTTTGCCAAGTCACAGGGTGCGTGCCGCTCGCAACTTGCGATTGAATGAGCATGACGTAATGCGCGCGTGCTGTAAACCCTTGAATAGATCACTGCGCTTTTTGGCGTCGTCACGCGCCCCACGCTCAAGCGATGATCCGCGGAAGAATCGTGTTTAAATTAACCACGCTCGAATGAGGATAGGAGAGGAGCGGAGAGAAAAGGATACATGCGTGTAGGGGAGGGGAGAGGAGGGGGGGAGGGGAGAAGAGAGGGGGCGCAGTGAAGTTGAAAGTTTGGTGGAAGAGCATATGGAGGGAATGTGATGAGGTTGTGGGGAATGCGATGAGGTGGGAGGGAAGGTGGGAGGGAATGTGATGAGGTGGAAAGGAAAGGTGGGAGGGAATGTGATGAGGTGGGACGGAAGGTGGGGATCTGTAACAAGACGGGAACTCACCATGCGGGATGCATGGGAATTTCCGAAGGGCTGATACCTAGTAGCTACGAACAACACCACTTGCTAGCCTAGAGCACACTCCCGTATCCCCGTCAGGAAGTATAGTACAGCAAGGCATGGCATCGAGGCGCTATGCCAAGATGCCATGCTAGAAGCGTAGCGACGCGGGCTTTCTTTACGAGCCGCGGTTCTATCTTCCTAGCATAAATATTCCTTCTCAGGATCTTGTTGTATCATCCCTGGATCTACTTTCTATTCTACTTCTTGAATCTCTTCTCAACTCTCTCGTCGACGAATCTGGAGTTAGGCCTCTCCCTTTGCCTAGCTTCTCTCCCTTCCGCTGCAACGTTTCTTTCTTTATTCTCGCTACGGCGCCGCCCTCTTCCTAGTCGCCATGGCCGGCCAGGCCAGCCGCGCCGTGCGCGGCAGCAGCGCCGTAGCCTTGTTTCAGGATCTGATGTGGGAGGGATTGTGATGAGGTGGGACGGAAGGTGGGGATCTGATGTGGGAGGGATTGTGATGAGGTGGGAGGGATTGTGATGAGGTGGGAGGGAATGTGATGGTGGAAGGGAAAGTGATGAGATGGGGGGAATGTGATGAGGGCGGTGGGAGGAGGTGCAAACAGGGGTGGTCGAACCACCGTCCAAGTCCCCACTCCCTTCCCTCCTCTCTGCCGGCGCCCCTTCCCCCTCATCCCCCCCCCCCCCCCCCCCCTCCTCCTCCTTTCTCTCCTCTTTGCCCTCCGCCCTTCCCTCATCCATTCCACTCCTCCTTCCCCCGCCCTGCCGCCAGCGCAAGTCCTGCTGGATTTCCAGAAGGCGTGGGGCCGCCCCACGTTTGACGGCTGGGCGGTTGGTGGGGACTGCGACAATGCAAGCACTGTCACGTGCGACTCCCAGGGCATGATCACAAAGATGTGAGCAGAGCGTTGTGAGTGAGTTAATATAAGCATGTGAGCAGACTTCCGTGAGTGAGATAAAAGCATGGCAGTGGACCTTGATGTTTGACATGTGAAGAGAACTCTCTGAGTGAGGTGAAAACAGGTTATGAGACCTTCGTGAGATGATAAAAGCATGGCAGAGGACCTTGATGTTTGACATGTGAGGGGATTTTTCTGAGTGAGATGATGTACGCATGTGAGTGGGCCTTGGTAAGTTAATCAGGTGTGTGGACTCAGGTGGGCTTCAATATGTTTTTCTCTTGAACCCTAAACCTTAAACCCTTCACCGTGGTCCATTTAAGTCAGACGGTTTGTTCTCGCCTCTCCGCACCCTGGACCCTCCCTCTTATCCTCCCTTCCTTTTAAAAACATCAGCAACTCACTAGCTGCCTCCCTACCCAAGGTTATGTCTGTGCGATTCAAAGAAACCTTGAACCACCATTTCCTTCCGTCATTTTTTGGAATCGATTTTTCATTCTACCGAGTTACAAGAACATGCATGCATGCAGTACACAGATGTCACATGCATTCATGCAGCACATGCATGTATCATGCACGCATGCAGCACATGCATGTATCATGCACGCATGCAGCACATGCATGTATCATGCACGCAAGCAGCACATGCATGTATCATGCACGCATGCAGCACATGCATGTATCATGCACGCATGCAGCACATGCATGTATCATGCACGCATGCAGCACATGCATGTATCATGCACGCATGCAGCACGTGCATGTATCATGCACGCATGCAGCACATGCATGTATCATGCACACATGCAGCAGATCTCTCTCCATTGCTGTTGCCCGTTTCAATCTCCGACCATCAGAAGCATTTCCGACGAGAGACTAAAAGGCTCAATCCCTGCCTCCATCAGCAACCTCCAAAGCCTTGAATACTTGTGAGTGCTGCTCCTCCCTGGGTGGACATGTGAGGTAGGTGAGGCACTCACAACACAACTGGACATGCGGTGTGAGGCACTCACAACACAACTGGACATGCGATGTGAGGCACTCACAACACAACTGGACATGCGATGTGAGGCACTCAGAGAGTGGACATTTGACGTGAGGCAGGCACTCACACCTTGCCAGTGCTCCTCCTTCTTTGGCGTCTGTTTCTGGAGTGCCACAAAAAAGACCTTGTTACCTTGTGAGTGCTTCACATTCGAGCTTGTTGTGAGCCTTCTTGTTTCATGGTTTCACTTTGTTAGTCATGGGTCGCAAAAGCTCGTAAGTTGGCCTTTCGTCTCTCCGTACAACCCTCCTTCCTTTCTCGAATGCAGAGCTTTATGGAACAGTAGCCTGACCGGCCCAATACCAACTACTATCGGCAACCTTCCAAAGCTGACCGACTTGTGAGTTTCCTAAAGAGACAGGCCATGCATGCCTCGTAACCTAGGCTCATCTCTTTTATCCTAACACTTTATTTTGTCCTAACACAAAATCATCAAATGTAGAACCAACTCTCCGAGGAGGGCATGAGAAAGTTGGTTCCACACTTATAAAATGTTGATGTAGCACCATTGTATCTCTGAGTACCACACCAAGTTAAGCTGAACTATTGCCAACCAAATATACCACTCGGCTTGAGTTGGTGCGCGCTTGTCCCTTACACGAGCCGAGCTTAGCGGAGCCAGGCCGAGCCAAGCAAGTGCCAGATTAAGTCAGAAACCACTTCCCACTATGAATGCATGTCCCTCAATCAAGTCTTGCGTGGCTTCTTTTACGCTGTATGCATGCCTTCCGTTTTCATTTGCTATCTATTCGTGCCCTCATTTATTCATTTCCAATGTATCCTGGCCCTCAGTCTGTGCGCATTTGCCGATCAGGGAACTTTGTTACAACAGCTTAACTGGCACCATCCCTGCATCCATGGGCAATCTCATAAGCCTCAATTACTTGTTAGTGCTGTTCCTCGTTCGCCCTACATGTGTGAGCCCCAGCCAGACCTTGCATGCTTCTTGGCTGCAGCATGAATGCATGCATAGTACACTTAGCGTCCAGCCCGATCTGCATCAGGTTGTTTATGCTTCGAAGCTTGATTGAACTGTGTTCTTACTCGACATACACTGAGTGCTGTACTGTTTTAAGCTTAAAATCAAGTCCTTAGCAGGCGTTTCGAAGTTGGGACACCACGCGAAGTTCATACACATGTAACTCTACCTTAGTCCTATATCGAGCAGCAAGGATGTAGGACTGAGCGTTCAGCTGAAAGGTCTGTCTGTGGGCATTGCTCCTTCTAGGCACGGCGCCAAGTCCCTCCTTGTTCCTTCGCTGCTACGAATGTTCCTACAGTATGGTCGATAGGTAGGAGGTGTCGTTCATACTCACAAACCCCTCTCTGGACTTTGCACCTCACTTCCGAGATGCAGGTGGCTAATTGGAAACAATCTGACGGGCTCCATACCAGCGACGTTATCCAACCTTGGGCTTTTGACCAACTTGTGAGTGATGAGAGGTAGTTTTTGTTTTCTTTCATTTCTTAGGCTCACTTCTTAGCCTCGCATTCCCTTTGTGGTATCTCCCTCTCACTGCCATATGAGTGTTAATTATTCTCCCTCTATTGGAGTTCGTCATGTGTTGTGATGCGATGTGATGTGATGTGATGTGATGTGATGTGATGCGATGTGATGTGATGTGATGTGATGCGATGTGATGTGATGTGATGTGATGCGATGTGATGTGATGTGATGTGATGTGATGTGACATTATTCCGCACCCCTTTGCATTCTCCTTGTTCTCCTCAACAACACCCACCAGCAATAGCCCTTGTCCTTCCGCGGCGATGTTTCCAGTACACTCATCTGTCTAGTTGACCTTCGAACCCTACTGGGATTCATCTTGAGTCCCTCTACTTGTCATATCCTTTGGTGCAATTGTTTCTGAGTGAGTGAGGAGGCAATGAAGCTTAACCGCCTAAAGCTACCGTGAGCGACCATGAGAGACTATGGGCGACCATAAAACACAGTGTCACTCTTCTCTCATTGTGCATGTAGGCATACCTTATGCATATGCATACCTTATGCAGGCCTTTTGATGCTTGTGCATGCCTAGTGGCTAGTGCATGCATGTCTTGTGCATGCGTGCGTGTTCATCTCATCATTATGCATGGCCTGGGCACTCCCCGCCCGCATGGCACTCGTTTCTCTCGGTCCCACCAGGAACCTCGGCTACAACGACTTGACAGGCACCATTCCTGCCTTTCTTGGCAACCTCCAAAAGCTTTCCCACCTGTGAGCAGCGCTGCTGTTTTTGGGTCGACATGTGAGCCATATCACATCCACACCACATGGGACTGACGCGACCTGCATTACAATATCACCACATGCCATGTGACGTGACATCCACACCACATGCCATGGGACCCACATCACATCCACTCCTCATGCTCATTCCCTCACCCTTTCAAGTAAGTCATTTCCAACTTGCCAGTCTTCTTGAGTGCGCTGCACGGTACGCGTCCCTCTGTGATCAACAAGTGCCACCCCTGACGCCCTCACATGCCTCTCCTTCAACCATTCACTGTGACCCCTTAAATTCGCTGTTATGGTGTCTACTCCGCTCATCACACTTTTCTCCCACGGAAAGCAGATACCTACATGGGAACAACCTCACTGGCTCGATACCAGCATCACTAGGCAAACTTTCAAATCTTGGAGATCTGTGAGTCTCTTGACTTGTTGTGAACCTCTTGACTTGGTGGACTAAACATGGCACCTTCCGTTTTTATTGCTCCTAAGGCTCACAGCAACCCTACTAGACATGAGCACAAGGGGGAAGGCCTGTTCAGTTCGCCTCGAACACTCAATTTTTTTTGGAACAAAATGTTTGGGGCGAACATGATTGTGTTTGCCCGAACGGGATCGTTTTGGGTTTACCGCGGCTAGCCGAGCTGCGCCGAACACAAACACGTTCGTGTTTGACATCACTTGTGTTTGTCAGAAACGTCCCTCGACCCTTTGTCTAAGTCGACGGGGCACACTAGTCGAGCTCATTTTGAGCCCGACTTTTGCCTAACTCCCCTTCGACAGCCTAGACTACAAGCTCCAGCAGCAAGCATATGTAGACCCTAATAGAAAAGTTTGGCGGAACCAAACTCCACTCTTTGGCGTTTCATTTCCTTCACTCCCAAACGTCCACCATGTATAGCCACACCACCCTGGACGCCACAACCCACCATCCCTAAACCCTGTGTCTGTAATGAAGGCTGCCTACAGACAAACACAAACATTTTCGTGCTTGGATTTTGGCGAACACCGACCAAAAACCTCCTTCAACGGTTTGTGTTCGGCTGAACGCAAACATGTTCGGTTCGCCAAATACTTGTGTTCGAGGCAAGGGGACATACACATGTTCGAGTTTGCCTTTTGCTCATCCCTAAGCCGCACTATCCCTCTGGTTCACATGCCCTCAACAAACGCACGCACACGCACACCACACACATGCACGCACATGGACGGGACACACATTTGCTCAGACCAACTGCAATTAGGTTGAGCCCGGCCCAGGTCGGGCCGCGCCGGGCTGCCCAAAAAAGCGAGTTTGGATAAGTTTTAAGGAAATGGTGAATCATGTACATATGGCTGAACTCTTGAGGCTAGCTGCAGCATCTCAAAGTTGAGGGCAAGGCTAGCCAACCTTGATCAGTTAGGAACTGAGGCCCAATTTTGCACATGTGGGCCAGGCTGGAACAGCAGCCTCCATGACAGCATATGGCATACCATAGGGGCCACCAAGGTGAGCATGGGATGAGTGGACAGGGGGCAATGCCAACTGTGACCACTGACCACACTTTGTTGTCGATAAGTGTGGTGGAGTATGGACATGTCATGGTGAGCATAATGTGAAGGGGGAAAGTGCAGATGATGGGAGTTGAACTCTCAATATCTTGGACTAGAGGTGAGGAACTACTCATTGGAACATACTCGGAGCACAACACACTCCACGTACATACACGTGCTGTGCAGTGGAGTATGGTGTCTCTCCACTCGACACTTGTGTGCCCTCCATTTCTTTCATTTGCAGACTCCTTTTCTTCAACATTTTGTCCGGCTCAATTCCTGAGTCGCTCTTCAATCTCACGAAACTCAGCACGCTGTAAGTGCAGTGCAGCGCAGTCCTTCTTTGCTTCCCAGCCAGGTGGGCCGTAGCCGAACCAGGCACATGCATTTCAGCAATTTCTGGATGCCCCAGAAGGCATTGTTGAAAGTATGGGGTTCATCTCAGCATGCACCTCTGCTCGCCTTGAGATGACCATGTTTTGTTTTAAATGCAGTTTTGACTTCCTCTTCATCCTGTATTTTCATACTGATGCTTGCAACTGAAACCTGTCCTTTACTCTCCTTGTTGCACCTTTTGTTTCCACAAACTGCAGCAGTCTCCTTGGAAACAGATTAACTGGCTCAATCTCTTCAAAAATAGGCAGCCTTGCAGCGCTGACAACCCTGTGAGCTTCTCAATGAGACGGGCTAGATGGCTCTTGCATTGCATACATGGCTCCTGCATAGATGATCCCTGCATAAATAACTCCTGCATTAATGAATCCTGCATAAATGACTCCTGCATTAATGACTCCTGCATAAATGCATAGACCCCCCCACACACCCACCCACCTGCAACATTGAAACAAATCAGCTACGATTGTGTCTGTTATTCCTGCAATTGTGCCCGAGCAGAAGACGTGATGCATGCATGCTGCCACGTTAGTGTGGATCCGTACGACCGATTGGTTAGTTAATCACCAGTAGATTCCCTAAACTCCACTGAAAACATTTGCCAAACAAAGTAGTTGAATAAGGTAGTGATGAAGTTAAATCTAGGCGTGCACAGGTGAGTGACATGCAGGAAAGAGTTGAAATGTAAGCACGGTCTTAATACCGGTATTGGATTTAGGAAATGTTGCCCCCTTCCCATATTGTCTAATCCAATGCTTGTGCTGTGTCACTTTTGATATATATATATTCTATTTATCCGTCGACCCTTGCCATAATGTCCATTCTAATAGTGTATACACAACAATCATTCGTCTCACCACACGCGCGCCTTCCGTCCTTTTCCTACCACCATCCACTGAATGTGAGGCAGACAGCTTGGCTACAACAACTTGACCGGCACCATTCCTGAATCTCTCTTCAAGCTCACAAACCTCAACAACTTGTGAGATCGTTACCCCTTGGTCTCACTTGAGAGGCAGGAGGAGCATTATTGAGGTGTATTTTGAGGCGTCTCAAACCAAACATAAACAACTTGTGAGTGCATTACCCTGTAGTTTCACTTGAGAGGCAGGAGGAACATTAATGATGTTACATTATTGATCGCTCCTGGAGTTGATTGTTGAGATGCCTCAAAAGTTGATGTTGCCGGCTCAATGTCCATGCTTCCAGGATTTGCAAATGTGCTTTAGCAGCGCTCGGTCTTGAATGCCTCCTCTCCAAAGAAAGCACTTGGGAGGTCCTCTGCACTGCTATTGTGAACACCCTCTATCCACTCCTCTTACCCAGCCATCCTAAAACTATTGCCCCTACTACTAATGTCTGCCCATGCAAACCAAGTAGAAGAAGAGGCACAGAAAGAATGGGATTTATATGCAACGCACAGCTGGGATTGGATGGGACTGGCGTCTAAAAATTATCTAGTGGGACTGGGATTCTGGGAACATGTTCTTTCTTTGAGACGTCTCAAAAGTTCCCAAACCCCTGGGACTGGGAACATGTTCTTCCACGAGTTTCAGGCTCTTGCATGCAACGCCGTCTTGAGGCATCTCAGTCGGACTGATGCTAAGGAAGCACCTTTGTTCTGGTCATTCTTCCGTTTTTTTACATCCCCGTTACAGATTGCTATGGAGAAACGAACTGACGGGCTCCATACCTGCAAAAATAGGCAACCTTCTATTCCTGAATGGCTTGTAAGTCTTCTAATTGGACGAACGGCGAGTGTCTTTTTTTTGTGAGGCTCATGATGACATCTGCATACATGACTGCTTTCTATTGTGTAATTATGATAATGTGCGATCAATCATTTCATAGCAATTGCTTGCTCTTCCCGGTAGTCAATCGCGTAAAAATCCATTTCAAGACATTGAAATGGTCACACAGACTATTTCTTTACTCTGTGCGTGTATGTGTGTATGCGTATATGTGATGAAGTGATTCTTTTCTAGCCTGTGTCTGTAATGATCGTGCTAGAACAATGTTCCAGTGATAGATTCGTCACTTTCTCGTAAAAACTTGTCTCATTCAATTTCCAGAAATTCCCTGTTGCTGTACCCTCAGATCACCAGGTACCTTGCTCTTGACAGCCTGCCCCGTGCTTCCCCTGCCGCCACCCTCCGTCCCACCCACCCACCACACCTCCCTGCGGTGGATTATTCACAGCGCCTTTCTTGTCAGACTTTTCCTGCTGCTGTCCCCCTCACCTCACCAGGTACCTTGGTCCCAACAACCTCACTGGCAGCATCCCAGAATCCATTGGCAACCTCTTGCAGCTCACAATCTTGTAAGCAATCAGAGCTGTAAGGACAGCTTCTGAGGCGCCTCAAAGGCCAGCTTTCCCGGTGGCTTTTCATAAACTCTGCTTTGATGACTTTTGAGGCGCCTCAGAAGGCAACCTCTTGCAGCTCACGACCTTGTAAGCAACCAGAGCTGTAAACACAGCAAATGCGCCTTGCTTGCGCTCTTTGCCCTATGAGTGCCATATGAACTGAACCACCGCATGAAGAACTGTACCTGTTTTGTGACCATGTCATAAGTTTGATTGAGGCTATGGCATGATCTCTTGGGCTATTACTTAGGTTTTGAGGCTGTGCCATGAGGTATGAGGCTGTGACATGCATTATGCGGCCATGGCGTGTGCCATGCGGCAACTCGATTTTTAACTTTGAACCTCGATCTCAAATGACAACTTGAGCTACGGATTGACCTGGTTTGAAGGTTTAATCCCGTTTGACGCAAGAATGCCCGACAATGGTTTGAGACAAGCCTACGTATGCTACTATGCTCAACAAACATTGCTCCCTATCCAGGAATGTGCGAAAATCCAGTCTGAGCGGACCCCTCCCTGCGACACTGGGCAGGCTTGCCAAACTCAAAGAATTGTAAGACACTCAGTTGTAAGAATTGTAAGGCACTCAGTTGTAAGAATTGTAAGGCACTCAGTTGTAAGAATTGTAAGACACTAGTGCTGCTCTTCCCCATGAGTGAGGATCCCTGGGACCTCACTTTCCCTCCGACACTGGGCAGGCTTGCCAAAATCGAAGAACTCTAAGGCACTCCGGAATCACCGACACACTCAGTTCTGCTTTCCCTCAGTTGCCGTAAACCAATCATGTGAAGCACATCTGCTGGAGCTTCTATTCTAAGGAGCACCACACATGATTTCTTGCCGATGTTTATTCTGAAGAACCCCCTCGTTCCCCCCAAACCTTTTTCCGTGTTCTGAAATGGTCCGCTTTTGAACCTCCTTTCCACACTTCCAGGAATCTGACTGATACTCGTGTCACGTGCCCGCCTAACAAGACCCCATGTGTGGTTCAGCAGTCTTCTCAAACCGCTTTTTGCATCCAGTGCCCTTCCTTCTGCACTACTTGCATCAAGCCAGCACCACGTGAGCAATAACAAAACGGGAAAACACGCACGCACATGCACACACGCAGAGGCACACACACACACAGAGGCACGCACACCCACAAGTATGCACACACGCACCCACCCACAACCCTTCCCACCACCGCCACCATACATCATCTTTGGCGTGCTTGCCAATTTACGCGCAACCTCACCATACATTTGTAAATATACACATACGCATGTACATTTGTCGTTGTAGTGCGTCTATATATGATAAATCATTACAGATCAGGGTAAAAAAAAAACGACATTTTTTTTAATTAATTACCGTAAAAAACGGTACTGTAAAAATTGACCGTTTAAAACGGTTCCAGGAGGTGTTTTCAGTTTGATTAACGAATTGGCCACTTTATGGAACCAAATTGAACCCGAATTTCAGCAGGATGAAGGGGACGGGCCCCTTCTTGCATGTGTGCGCTTGTTGGCATGATTGAAATTGTGTTTGACCTTGTTTTTCCCTTTTTTTTCCTGGTGACCAGAGTTCTCTAACAAAAAAACGCCCGAATTTCACCGTAAAAAACGGACCGTATTTTACGAAACCGTATTTTGAACCTTGCAGATTATGACAGAATGCTTTTCCTCCTTACCTACACATATTCCCCCAACCCCGCCCCTCCCTTCCCCACGTCCAGCACCCCCCTCCCCACCTCCAGCACTCCCATCCCCACGTCGACCACCCCCTTCTCCAGCGTCTATCTCCCCACCTACAGCGCCCAACACAACGGGCCCATCCTCCTCCTCTTTCAGTCCCCCCCTCTCACCCGAAGCGCCTCCCTCGCAGTCGGGAGGCGGTCTCTCTGTGGGAGCCATTGCCGGCATTGCTGTGGCTGCTGTGATGCTGCTGATCATTGGCACGCTGCTGTGGTGGTGGAGAGGTCACAAGAAGCGAGCAGCACGTGCAGCAAGTAGGGCGTCCCGTCCATACACCCTAAACCCGAAACCCTGGATTTGAAGCCCTAGAAGTCAGGGGAGGGACCTGGAAGTCTGGAAACATGTCTTCTCTTCTTCCTCCATCCATTGTTCCTCCTCCTTAGGCCCTTCTCTCTCTCTCTCTCTCTCTCTCTCTCTCTCTCTCTCTCTCTCTCTCTCTCTCTCTCTCTCTCCCTCTCTATTTTTCTCTCTCTCGCTTTCTCGCTTGGACTTGCCTGTTCTCAACCAGGCAATGGGCAAGGGTGGTTCGGGCTGATTTTTTCAAAACACCTCAAAAATCGGGCTCCCGTCACCCCTTTTTCTTCACCCCACACTGTCACAGGACGAGCTTGCAGCATGTCGGGAGCTCAATGCACCGAGTACTCTCTTGAAGAAGTGCTCACAGCCACCAACAACTGGTCCTCGGGCAACCAGCTTGGCTGGGTTGCCTTGCACCCCTCACCACCACTCCTCACCCCTTCCATCCGCACCTTTACAGGCCGAGCTCGCAGCATGTCGGGAGCTCAATGCACCGAGTACTCTCTTGACGAAGTCCTCAAAGCCACCAACAACTGGTCCTCTGACAACCAGCTTGGCTCGGGTGCCTTTGGTGACGTGTACAAGGGCGTGTGTCCAGATGATGGCGTCACCCTGTGGGCTGTCAAGCGAGCCAAACTGATTGACGTGGAATTTCACAAAGAGGTGGGTCCGAATGAGTCTTCTTGTTCCTATTCTTGAGGTTCCCCAATAATACGTTCCGGAGCCTTTGGTGTGGTGTACAAGGGCGTGTCTCTGCACGATGATACCACCCTGTGGGCTGTCAAGAGGAGCTATATGATTGCCGTAAATGGGCCTTTTATTTTCCACTTTGAGTTTGGGGCGAACTGCTATTGATTTAGAAACTTCTCCTCTTTGGCTGTGCTTCTCGTTGCATTCTATTCTACCATGGCACTCCTTTCAAGGCGGCTTCTATGTCATTCCACCTTGGCATGACGGTTCCAATCCAGCGTGCCATGCCATGTTTCTCGTTCGATTCATCCCATGCTGACTGCTGTCCAAATTTCCCTTTCTCCATTTCATTACTGCCTTTTTATTCTCGCAGGTCCAGCAAATGGCCGACAAGAACCATCCCAACATCGTGCGGCTGCTTGGGTTTGCTATTGGAGGGGACATGAGGACACGTCCAGAGCAGATCTTGATCTACGAGTTTGTTTCCAACGGTGACCTTGACCACTATATCAAGAAGGGTACGCACCACGTATTCATCTGCAACCATTCTAAATCTCATGATTACACTCTATTTTGAACATACCGATGGTGACCTTTTCTAGTACTGGCATAACAAGAAGGTTATGCGCATACTATGTCACGTATTGATCACCTCCCCGCGTCTCCCAGCGTTAGTCACTCATGTCTCTCACTCTCTTGTTCTCTCATGTTCCTTCCGCGATTCTCTCGTTCTGTGCATGTGTGCAGAGGCGTCCTTCACTCTCTCTTTCCAGGAGCGGCTGGACATCCTCATTTGCCTCCCTCATGTCCTGTCACTCTCTTCTTGTGTGCAGAGGCGCCTTTCACTCTCACCTTCCAGCAGCGGCTGGACATCCTCATTGGTGCGGCACGTGGCTTTGAGTACCTCCACAGCTTTGGCCTTGTGCATCGCGACATCAAACCCGCCAACATCCTGCTGGGGGATAAAATGCAGGCAAGCAAGAGCGTTGAGGCGAACATAGTGAAGTTGTCATGTGGAAGATGTCAATGAAACAGAAACAAACACAAATTATTTAAATGATGAATTCAAATTAAGAAATAAACACGGTATTACTATTTACACATGTTCTAAATACGCAGATTGATGCATGCGTTCCAACTACACTACGGGTGAACATTGACTTGATAAAAGTGTGGCAGCATTTCGCTAGTCCACCATAGGTGCTATGTTCGTATAATACTTCATCTGGATGAAGCTCGGGATACTGAAAGAGAAAAAAAAACCCTATATAAATGAGAGAAAGATGAAGGAACTAAGAATTGCACGTACAGCTCTATATTTGTTTTCAGTGGTGATCGGCTCTACAAAATAAGTCATCACCATTGTGAAGTCCTTGGTAATTTTTTCCTCAGTCATGCTTGTTTGTCCCTCTTTCGATAATTATACCTTCCGACAGGCCAAGATCGCTGACTTTGGACTGTTAAAGGCGGGAGAGGGAACCGCTGTCCGCACGACTCGGGTGATGGGGACACCGGGCTATGTGGATCCCATCTACTCACGCACGTCCAAGGCCACCACTGCAACTGATGTCTACAGGTGAGCTGCTTTTCAGGCGCCTCACAACGCAACCACTACAAGCCACCGATGCCTGCAACCACTGGAAAACTGTAGTGATTGATTTTTTTTTTAGGATTATGAACGCCTCCCTTGGGCTCTGAACTGATGATCTGGCAGTATTTAAGCGCCTCATAAGTGCCTGAAAGTGCTTTTGCATCTTAAAGCTCTCTCCCACCACTGTTCTCTTGTGTGATGCTCCAAATATCTCTCCCGAAACACCCACGTCTCTGCTGCTTTGGTGTGCTCATGCTCGTGGCTGTCATCAGCTGTAGCCGCCCTTATCTGAGTTGCTTTCGATAATTCTCAAATCTGATGGGAAGTGCAGAGCACTACCCCTGATGCTGTCATTAGACATGGGCAACGGACCGAGTCGAGTAAAACTCGACTCGGTCTGGGCCAAAACTCGACCGGGTTCGAGCTCGAGTCGGGTGAAACCCGGTCGAGTTTTTTTGCCAAGGTTCAGGACTCGAAACTCGACTGTATAAGGGCGAGTTTTCTAAAACTCGACCGGCGCTATTCATACACTCGGTCGAGTCCTAGTTAAACTCGGCTCAGCGGGGGGGAGGGGGGCGGGACACACCATAGAAAAGTGAGACCTGAGGCTTATTTTCGTGCATGGTTTTTTGTTGTATACCCTATAATATTGTACGCCTGCGACGCTGCGTAGCCGTCTCCACCTGGTCTCCCCCCCCCCCCCCCCTCCCCCCCCTCCCGCATGATCGCCACGGTGGGTTCCTCCCGCCCCCCTTTTCCCGCCGTTGGTGTTCTTTCTTGTCAGCTGCTTGAATATCGCCATGCTAAATCAGTAGATCGACTGTTACATGATTAAATAGTAGCGTTTCCTCCTCCTCAAACCCTAATCGAAACCAACCATACAATAAAACCACGACTCTAACTAAGCGCAAACCTAGATCTACGTTGCCCCTGAAGCGATCTTAAGTTTAAGAAGAAAAAACAGCTGGGCGTTTGGCTGCTTTGGCTCTGGAAACTACGGACGACATGTTGAGGAAGGTGTCTGACTGAAATCGAGATCTGAAACTGGACCCGCAAAACTTCAACTTTCAAAATTTGTATGCCCACCCCACCCCAATGTCGCGACGAGTTTTTCGTAAACTCGCCGAGTCCAGAAAACTCGACGAGTCTGGAAAAAAACTCGACATGGGGCCCGAGCTTGGACCGAGTTTTTAAAAAAACTCGGCAGGTAAAACTCGACTCGGCCCGGTCGAGTTTTTCAACGGGTCCTCGCACTCGACACTCGACCAGTAACGAGTCCCCCGATCGAGTCGAGCTTAAAAGCTCGACTCTTTGCCCATGTCTAGCTGTCATCCTTCCCTTCCTCTGTGTCATCCCTTCCTCCTCCTCCTCTGTGTGTGCAGCTTCGGTGTTCTCATGCTTGTGGTGCTTACCGGCCGTAGCCCCCACACTGGTGATGGTGAAAGGAATGGGCACATTCTGCGATGGGTAGGTGCTGCTGCTTTTTGAGGTACAGCACACGAGGTACAGATCACGTCGGGTCAGGTATGCAGCAACAAAGTCACCTTTTCCTGCTGATGGTTGCATTCTTCGACACATGAGGTACGTGCTGCTGCCTTGTGTCCGCAAAAGAGGTGCTTTCAGGTAGATCTCCATCCGAATGCTACTTCTTTGTGTGCTTCTTTGTGTTCCATGGCACACAAAGTAACTTTCAAGCCGGCTGCATTACTAACTCACACAGCCAAAGTGGAAGAATCACCTGCGATGGGTAGTTGTTTCTGCGTTGTAACGCGCATGCGACAACAGCGTAGACATATGAAGCACTCAAAAAGAGTATATAACACGAGATGCACAGGAGTTGCTGCTTCCAGGCAAGTACGCGAGATGTCACGATGGCATGATAGCACGCTGGTCCAACGGCATGATGGCGAGATGTTAGGCTGGCACGATGGCACGTGGGCACATTCGCATGATGGCAAGGCGACAGGACAGGGCGATGGTACAGTTGTGCTGCTGTGCCTAACTATTAAGAATAACCCTCCTCAGCAGGCACAGCTGCTCAGGAATGTTCCCATCTCCACCCACTTTATTCAAACAATCAGGTGTAGGCATGCCTCATATACCTCGTGTCGTCCAGCAACCTCTTTTGCATGATGTCATGATGTAGCATAATGGCATAATGGCATGATGGCATGATGGCGTGGTGGCAAGACTTCTCAGAACTGTCCCCGTCCCACCGTGATGGCATGATGTCTCCTTGATTAATCAGTTAGGTGTAGCCATGCCTCATTTACCCTCCCGTCATTCAATAACCTCTTTTGCTGCTGATTATGCACGTGTGCTCTCTCTTATGTTCAATTAAATCCATCAGGCCGACGATTGCATTTCCTCCAAAAGAACTGACCCTCTCAAAGACCCGAGCATGGACGCCCCGGATGATGCTGTGCTGCGCCTGGCCCAGCTGGCTCTGCGCTGCACTGTGCAACGCACTGCAAGCCGGCCCAACATGGCAGACATTGCCAACGAGCTGCAGGGAATCAGGCACGAGGTGGTGGGGAAGGAGGAGCTCAGTGCAGCAGTTAAGGTGGATGAGCAAGCAGAGGGGATGCGAAGTGAGACATCATACCCCAATAACCTGGCTGCAATGTTGCAAGCTATTAAGGGCATGGAGGAAGACAAATAAACTCTATCCTCTGTAACCGGTTAACACCGACTTTAGCAGTTTCATTGTACATGTTTTGATCGGGGGGTTGGCTGACGGGAGAGAGTGGGGGTGGCTCTTAGGATTCAGCTGGGAACGGCGAGGGGGGATCACAAAGTAAAGGTGTCAACATACACATTTGTAGTTATATTTGTTAGGCTAGGTTAGGTTTGACTATAGGGAGTGAATTTTTGTTAAGTACAGGTAGGCCAATTGTATCCTTCCATAGTAATTCTTTCGATTCCCAACATGGTATCAACGTACGTTAGGTTGCCTTTGCTTCGCCTACCCTAGCCGCCCAAGCACGCCCTCCCGGTTGTCGCTAGACCGCCCCAAGCGCGCCCAGCATGGCTACCGTGCACCCTAACGCACCCTCCTAGCCCCCCAGCGCGCCCCCTAAGTGCAACCGCTCGCGCCCACTTAGCAGCCCCTCCGCGCCCCGCCCTAGGCCCTGTCGCCCCACGCGCGCCTGCAGTCGCACTAGCACCTGCGACCGGCCTGTCGTCACCACACTAGCCGCGCCCGCCGCGCCACTGGCACTGCAGCGCGCCCGCTGCTGCAGCGTGAACCGCCACCGCTGCTCGCACTCCTGCTGCTACTCTCACTTTTGCCGCTGTGCACCCGTTGCAGGATCCCCGCCACTACAGCTGCTGCCACACGCTCTGCTACTGCTGTTGCCCTTGCCGCTACTAGCACGCGCACCACCGCATGCGCTGCCTCTGCTATTGCGACGGCCAGCGCACCCATCAACTGCCAACGCTAGCAGTTAGCCGCGCAATGTCAGCCTGCCGCCAGCCCTCGTTCCTTGCTCTTTAGAGCGGCTGTTCTCAGCCTGTGGCCGTTGTACCTGCCACCTACTACGGCTGAGCACCTCCTTCCTACTATTATGGCGATTGAGTTGGTGCTGCGTTGCGACGCAGAGGGTTGCACGGTGGACTTTCCGTCGTGGCTGCTCGATGTCCAGCTCGACCTATAGAGCCAGTTTCAGCAGGACATCCCCGATCGAAGACGTTTTGGGCCTCAGGCCATTCCCTCAGACTGGTCTAGTATGATGTGTTGTGGTTAGCAGGATATCAATATGGGCATGTCCAACGTTTATGCTATGCTGTATGTTGTTGACTATAGTGTCACTGGACTAGACTAGGTTTCGTGGCTACCTCTGGTGTAGGATCTTCTATTGTTGCTTGCCCGGGTGTGTCCACCACCGACGTGTCACTCTCCTTCACGCTTGACTCTCGAGCATCTCAGTGCTTCTTTTGTGACCACATCACCATCTTAATGCTTCCAGCCCCAGTCACAGTCCCTTTGGCCAACCCCTCCTGTGGACCGGTCCTCGCTCACGGCGCTACTACCCTTTTGTGTTCGCCAGCTCCTCTAGCTCCCTCTACTGCATGCGCATCCCCTTGTTCTCTAGGAACTTGGTGGTTGTCGGTTGTATTCTGGACCTCAGTGTCACCACCACATTTTCTGGACACCGTCGGTTTGCAACCTGTACAGATGCTACCACAATGGTACCTCTTTTCATGCTGCACACGTCGTCCCCTCATGTTGTTGCATCTGGTCAGATAGCCCCATCATGCTCTTGTCAGACGCTCACCCACCCGTCCCTCCTGTGGCACCACTGTCTACTTCAGCCCACACTTCTATGTCTCCATTACATGGCTTAGCATGGTCTTTTCCCAAGTCGCCTATTGCAGTTTTCTCCCCTCGATCCTTCGTCTGCGCCACCATGCACTGCTTCATTGAGGGCTCGCAAAGCGGAGCCCCTCACTCCTCCCCGCTGTCTTACACCACCACGCTTCTTTAGACCCTGCACATGGACGTTTGGGTACGCATCCCCATCTTTGGGCTGCGTGGGGAGCGCTACTTAGTGGTAGTTGTGGACGATTTTATCCTGGTACATCGTAGTGTTCCCCTTGGTGCGGAATGTCGACGGGCCTGACGCTATCCTCCTATGGCTAGTGGTCGTCCGTGCCCTCCGCGCTTGGTGTGTGCTTCGTCTGCACTCCGACCGCGGTGGCGAGTTCACCTCTGGTCGGATTGTGCAACTCTGTCGTGTGCAGTTCATGCGTATATGCTCCCGGACTCTCCCCAGTAGATGCGGCAACTGAGCTTCGTATTGGCTTGGTCATGGAGATCGCCCGTACCTCTGTAGTCCATGCAGGTGCCCCCATTTTCTGTGGCCATTTGCAAACCGCCACACCACGCACTAGCTTAGCCCGTGGCCTCGTGCCTCACAGCCGCATGTTTCACCAACCCTCCTCTAGACTAGGTCCCCTATTGTTGCGCATGTGTTTCATGTCTGGGGCTGCATTTCACATGTCCGCAACACTCGTGCAAACAAGCTCTCAGCCCGCACTCTTCCTTGAGTCTTCCTTGGTTTCCCTCTTGATGCCTCCGACTGGTTGTTTTACCACGCAACATCTCACCGATTCTTTCACTTTCGTTGCCTCACTTTTGATGAGTCACCAAGTAACTCGTCTGGATGAAACGCAATAATTTCTAGACAATTTCTACACTCACTTCCCTCATCGAGGTACCCCAGTTTCCCCCACTCCACTGTTTCTCACTCCCACTTCTCCCCTTGGTCATGCACCTCCGCTTGTTTCCCTGCCCCGTCTCCTGCTCCGTCTGGTGTGTCGCATGTCACTCCCATTCCCTTGGTTGGGTCCGTGGGGGAGGTTGTTGCCTTCCCTGGGGTCCCGGTGCGCGGGGGTGCGCCTCCTGTGCCGCCACCTTCACCACATTCATTGCCGTCACCCATGTTGTCTTCGAAATTGGCCATGTTGTCCTCGCAGTCGCCCATGTTGTCCTCGTAGTCACTGCGGCTGCCTTTGCAGTCGCCATAGCTGGTCGCTGTGAATGCTAGGGGTGATGGTTTTGGGGGTGCTGATCCATGGGGTCCTTTTGCAAGAGTTTCTGATTATGGAAGTGTTAACACTGGGAATGCTGGTTCTAACAGTGTTGCTAGAGATGGGTCGGGCCCTAAGGTTGCCGTGGGTCTGCTGAGCAGCAATAGCACATGCCACCGTCGCCACTACAGCAGCAGTGGTCATCGCTGCCTGGCCTGCGCTTTGCCTTCTCGGTCTTCCTTACCCCTTGACTGACAGCCTCCTCCCTCCTCCCCTATTCCTCTCCCACAACTGCCTACAACTCGTTTTTCTCCTAGTTCAGAGATGTATCCTCCCGTATTTCGTGACCCGTATCTTGTCCCCTCCCTCTGGCCTCGCCGTGCCCCTTGTGCTCATCCCTCGTCTCTTGTTCCTGATTTTCACTCTATGAGCATTTAATATCTTCCCCCTCGAGTTCGGCCTTTTGTTCGGTCGTTACCTCCTCAATCGTCCCTTACTGTCTCCCCTCCTCCATTCTTCCGCTCTATGCCACTCGTCCTAGGGTCTCCCGTGTCCTTTCCTCTCTTTTTACTCACCCTATTGTTCCTCTGTTGTATGTCTCCGTTTTTTTTACTGTTGTCACCAAATTTGTCTCGACCCACCTTCTTGAGTTCGCCACTCATTTAGTCTGTGCTCATGTCCATCCTCCGTCCATCGGGGGTGCTCCGCCCCTCGGCATTGTCGCTCCAGAGGACAAATAGTTTGGGCTAGCTTTCCTTGGATCCACTGCTCTTTACTTCTGTGCCATGTTGCTAGCCCATGTGGCCGACCTAGACGCTCATGACATCCTGACTTTGCGCACCTACGCTAAGGCAATTTTGGGACACTAGGCCTTTCAGTAGATAGCGGTCATAGACGCCCAATTGGCATCTTGGAGGTCCACATGCACCAACATTGATGTAGTTCCCCATCATGGGGTGAACATTGTCGTTGACTTGTGAATATGCAAGATGAAGCAGCCACCTAGAGCGTCACCTGTCTTTAATGTGCGCTATGCCGCGAGAAGCTTCAGCAAGCGATTGGGGCTAGACTTCCTCCATACCGTCTCCCCTACCCTGAAAATGACCACTCTCTGGGTACTAGTGCACATCGCCGCACAGCACGACTACGAGCTCCACTCACTTCGATCACTGGACTTCTCCAATGCCTTCCTCCAGGGTAGCCTGCACGAGCAGATCTAGCTCCACTGTCCCCCTAGCAGATTGGTGGCGCAGCTCACCAAGGTCAGTGCACATGTGTCTCTTTTGCAATACGGACTTCACGTCAGCCAAAGCAACCCTGTCAGCAGTGGCAAAAACCAGGTAGTCGACGTAGACTAGTACAAAGAACGGTATAGAGCCATGACGAACGAACAGCGACGGGTCTGCAGAAGACGGCTGGAAACTGAGGTTAGACAGGGTAGAGCGAAGGGTGTCGTGCCACTCACGAGGAGCCTGACGGAGACCGTAGACCGGTCGCCTTAGCCTCCACTGGGTCCCAGGAGGGAAAGTGCATGTGAAGGCAGAGGGACGACGTAACTAGACCTCCTCGTATAGGCTACCCTGAAGGAAGGCAGTGGAGAAGCCGAGAGAGTGTAACTCGTGGCCTCTTTGTGCTGCTACGTGCAGTAACACCCGAAGAGTGGTCATCTTCGGGGTAGGCGCGAAGGTCTGAAAGAAGTCAACTCCCTCGCACTGACTGAAACATCTAGCCACATAACGCGCCTTGAAGACTGGAGGAGATCCCTGTGGCCACTTCACCTTGAAGATCCATATGCCATCGACTACGTTCGCCCAAGGGGGGGGACCTAGCCGACGCAGGAGGCCATCTATGAGTCCATGGCAGCTCTCCATTGAGAGGCCCAAGGCCCTGACACTGCCTCAGCGTAAGTGCGAGGAGTCGGTATGTTAAGGGTGTCAGGGTCTCCTTCAGAAGCGAGCAGCACGGCGCAGAGATGACGGGAAGCGATTGCCAGAAACTCCACCTCAAACTGCCTGTCCTCTAGGGCGTCACAGACAAGGGCAGACTCACCCCCGACGGCCAGAGGACTGGTAGGAGGAGGAGCCACGAGACAAGTGGCGTAGTCAAGGCCGCGAGTAGCAGTGAACTCAATGACAGTGGCAGTAAGGGCGGAGACAAAGGACAAAGAGGTACGAGGGTCCGTAACAAGAGAGGCGAGAACACGAGAGAGAACAGGGCGGTACGTGTGGTAGTAGCCAGTGACAGGAGTAGAGAGGGAAGCAGTGAGGGCCGAATCAGGAGGAGAAAAAAGCACAGACGAAGACGAACGAGGCAGACTAGGATGGAACAACACAGTACGATGGTACGTGACAAGGACAGGGGACGAAAGACGAGCACGAGGAGAGCAAGAATCCCAAGTGTGAGAAAGAGGAGGGGACAACGGAGGCTGAGAATGGGGGAAAACATTTGGGGTGGAGTCAGGAGGATGAAACGTGGGACCGTAGACAGGACGAGAGAGGGAGGAGGGAGGACAGGGAGAGGGGAGACCGAGGGTTCGAAGGCCAGAGACAGAAGGCGGAGGTGGCGGTTGCTGCTGCTCCTGCTGCGGCTGCTGCTGCTCCTGTCGCGGCTGCTGCTGCGCCTGCTGCTGCTCCCACGGCAGCTGCCGCTCCAACTCCAGCTCCTCTCGCTCCAACTCCAGCTGCTCCTCACGTGTACGGCAAAGACGGGCCTGGTGCCGGGTCGGGTAGGGGTGGGGGGGAGGAGTAGTGTCCGGGGCGGTGGTAGCCCTAGGACCACTCTCCAAAGAACCAGTCGCACCACCCCCAGAGCCAGCACCACCAGCAGCAACGCGGCCAGTCCCAGGCTCTTCAGGTCCAGTAGAGGGCGCACCCGCACCCCCAGTCATAGCACCCCCAGGGACAGCTCGACT